AGAAGAGATTGGATTTATACCCAAAGGTGTCTCAGAGCGGCTTACAAACTCCTTTCGCTTCCCCTTCCCACAACAGACACCCTGTGAGGTAGGCGGGGCTGAGAGAGCACTTGACAGAAACGGCTCTTTTTCAAGAACAGCTCTTATCAGAACTATGGCTTGCTTAAGGTCAGCCAGCCAGGTGCAAGTGGAGGAGTGGGGAATCAAATCCGGTTCTCCCAGATTAGAGTCCGCGCACTTAACCACTACACCAAACTGACTCTCTAATATTATGGAAGGGGGTGAAACTATTGGAAGGGGGCTCTTTGACAATGGAAGCCCCAAGTCTCCTTGAGCACATGGAACTCATTGCACCATTCTTTGGAAGACGGCTTATATCCATTACTCCTGGTATGGCTCCAAAGCATTATCAGGGGCTGATTTAGTTAGATGGGCACAGGAATCGCTGGCGGCCGATATATTAATCATGTGTTTTTCTTACAAGCTCTTAACGTTTTGGGCAGCTGCCATTAGACTAGGACAACCATTTCATGTACCCTACTCTTTCTCATGTTACCGCCGATGAGCTAACCATAACTCATTTCCTGTGTAAATATAACCGGCTGATTAAGATGATAATTAGCCACATGTCTGCCATCGATACCCGAGCTGTTCCCTCCTCTGCTCGTCCTATTTGGTAGACAGACACTTCCTAAATTGCCTCAGAGCAGAGCAGAGAAGACCTGGAAAGAGGCTATGGGACCATCTTCAGAGCAGCAAGGGACAGAAAGGAGTCATGTGTCCTCAGGAGTCTTGGGGGCGAGGCGGGTTTTATGCTAAAGTCCCTTTAACAGCACAAAAACTGGGAACAGCACAGAGGTACATGAATTACAGTAGCTAGACAGCAGCGGTGGCCTCATATAATCTACGGGGGCTTTCTTTCTTTTTGAGATATACCTCTCTGTTTGGGTTGTCAACTCCAGGTTGGAAATTCCTGGAGATTTGAGGGCAGAGCTTGAGGAGGGAGCTCACCATAATGCCAGAGTCCACCGCTCACAGCTGCCCTTTCCTCCAAGGCAACTGATCTCTGTAGACTGGAGATCAGTTGCAATTCTGGGAGAACTCAGGTGACCCGCAATGACATCATAATATGTTTCATGACAGAGCACTTGGAGACATGGCGGTTACGTTCCTCCTGAAGACCGAGTCATAGGCAGTGTTAGAGATGTGCCTGACCAGGCAGCTAAGGAGACACCCAATGAAACCCACTAAGAGAAACAGGCAAGGTATGCCGCTCTCGTAAAAAAGTCAAATGCCCAATGAAACCCCTAAAGGGAGTCAGGCAAGAAATGTCGCTCAGATAGAAAGACAGACATGGAGTGAAACCCCTAAAGAGAAACAGGCAAGACAGACAGCTTATGTAAATAGACAGTCCCCCGATGAAACCCCTCAAGAGAAACAGACGAGACATGCAGCTTGCGTAAAAAGACAGTCGCCTGGTGAAACACATCAAGAGAAACAGGCGAGACATGTGGCTGTCTTAGAAAGAAGGACACCTGATGCAATCCCTAAAGAGAAACAGGTGAAACATGTGACTTTCGCAGAACGACGGACATCCCCTGAAGAGAAACAGGCAAGATATGTGGCTCCTATAGAAAGACGAATGCTGGGGTTTATCTTGGACTTGACCAACCAGGGGCCTATTTTAAACTCGCCTGCCAAAGCATACGAGCTGTAACTCTGTGGCCGAAGTCTTGCTTTGCTTGCAGACGGTCCTGTGTTTAATCGCCATTTGGAAGGGTTTCTAAGGCAAACTACAGAGTATGTTTTGTCACTTCTCTGTGCAATTTTGGCCCTGTTCCCCTGCAGCCGCACGGCAGCCGCGGGGAACTGCTTCAAAGATGCTCAGAACAGCACCACAGGGAGAGGAAAGGGGGGGGGGGTTATTTCACCAGTTTTGCTGCTCCATGTGCACAGATACTTCACGTGGAGCAGCAAAATAACTCCCACCGGCTGTGGGGGTGGGGGTGGGGGTCAGGCGCTCTTCCTCTTTTCATGGCACCATTTCAAGTCTGTTAGGGCTCTCCTTTTTTAAAAAGAAGCAATTCCCTGCAGCTGCTCTGTGACTGCAGGGAATATGGGCAAACTAGTGGAAACAAGTGAAGAAATGTGTGCTGTAGCTTGGCTGTCAGGTTATGGGACAGGGAAAGGAGCCTGGGGTCAGTGTGAACAGTCACTGGGCCTGAAGATCTGGGTGTTCTGACTGAGAATAAGGCAGGTTAATTCTCAAGCATGGTGGAGTTTGTGTGTCTCCCTTCCCTTTAAGAGTGTCTTCCATACAGCATTCTGAACTGGCTGTCGCGTGTGATTCTCTGGAATCCTAATCAAACAGTGCCTCTGAGCTTGGGCAGAGTGCATTTCATTTGGCACAGAGAAGCCACAACTAGTCCATATATGCCTAGGAGAGCCAGTTTGGTGTAGTGGTTAGGAGCGCGGACTCTAATCTGGGAGAACCAGGTTTGATTCCCCACTCTTCCACATGCAGCTGCTAGTGTGACCTTGGGTCAGTCACAACTTCTCTCAGAGCTGTTTTCTCAGGAGCAGTCCTCGAGAGAGCTCTCTCAGCCCCCCCCACCTCACAGGGTGTCTGTTGTGGGGAGGAGAAGGGAAAGGGATTGTAAGCTGCTCTGAGACTCCTTTGGGTAGTGAAGGGCGGGGAATAAATCCAATCTCTTCTGCTTATGTGTAATTGTGAGATATGATTCTCAAGAACCATCATTTTAGAAAACAAGCCCCTCCCCCTTCGGTTTCCAGACTGCCAGTGATCGTGGAAGGAAGTGGGACAGGGAGAAGAAATAAATATCTCCTCGGTCTACTATTTTGCAGTGGTTTGGGCGTCTCTCAGCATAACCGACCTCACAGGGTTGTTGTTTTGAGGATAAAATGGAGGGGGGAGAACAATACACCTCCCTGAGCTCCTTAGTGGCATACAAAGGCTGGGACAGATCAACAAGTAGATAAAATTTGAGGAGGTGGGTTCTCCCCACCCTTCCACCCAGATACTCTCTCCCGAGCTCCAAATCTCTCCAAAAGTAACTTTTACACAGTAATTTTCATTTTGGTCTTTTGAAGAGGTTCCCAATGAGACAGTTCATAATCTCACAGGTGAAAGATCAATAAAAACTCAGATCAATTGACGTGTCAGGGGGGAGACCCATGGTCAGATCTGGTAATGTTCTCTTCAGTGTTGAATAGGGATTGGGAGGGTGGGGAACTGGATCAGCATTATGAAGCTGGGGCACGCGGGCAGGCGAGTGTGCAGATTTGTTTTGCTTTGTACCATTTTCTTGATATGCATCCAGATGCCACTGGGGGAAAAAAGAAAGGTACAATACAGTCTATGCCCCCTCTTTTTGCCACCAAGTCACAGCGACGTATGGCAACCTCATAGGGTTTTCAAGGCAAGAGACGAACAGAGGTGGTTTACAATCGCCTGCCTCTGCGTAGCAACTTGGTTGGTGGTCTCCCATCCAAATACTAACCAGGGCCGACCCTGCTTAGCTCCCAAGGTCCGATGAGATCGGATTCAAGATCTGACAAGCTCCGGCTACCCTGAGCTATTCAAGCTACTAATAATCCAGTGCTGTAGAGTTGAAACTGACCTATGGGGGTGACCCCGTAGGGTTTTCAAGGCAAGAGGCAATCATAGGTGGTTTGCCATTTGCCTACCTCTGCGTAGCAACCCTGGGCTTCTTTGGTGGTCTCTCATCCAAGTACTAACCGGGCTGACTCTGCTTAGCTTCCAAGAACTGGTGAGATCAAGCCAGCCTGGGCCACCCAGTGGTGGTCTCCCATCTAAATACTAACCAGGGCCGACCCTGCTTAGCTCCCAAGGTCCGATGAGATCGGATTCAAGATCTGACAAGCTCCGGCTACCCTGAGCTATTCAAGCTACTAATAATCCAGTGCTGTAGAGTTGAAACTGACCTATGGGGGTGACCCCGTAGGGTTTTCAAGGCAAGAGGCAATCATAGGTGGTTTGCCATTTGCCTACCTCTGCGTAGCAACCCTGGGCTTCTTTGGTGGTCTCTCATCCAAGTACTAACCGGGCTGACTCTGCTTAGCTTCCAAGAACTGGTGAGATCAAGCCAGCCTGGGCCACCCAGGTCAGGGCAGAGACCAACAGGGATGGTTTGCCATTTGCCTGCCTCTGCATAGCAACCCTCGACTTCCTTGGTGGCCTCCCATCCAAGGACTAAGCAGGGCCAGTTTGGTGTCGTGGTTAAGTGTGCAGACTCTAATCTGGGAGAACCAGGTTTGATTCCCCACTCCTCCACTTGCACCTGCTGGATGACCTTGGGCAACCCATAGTTCTGTCAGAGCTGTTCTTGAAAAAAGGGCAGTTTCTGTCAGAGCTCTCTCAGCCCCACCTACCTCACAGGGTGTCTGTTGTGGGGAGGGGAAGGGAAAGGAGCTTGTAAGCCGCTCTGAGACTCCTTTGGGGAGTGAAGGGTGGGGTATAGATCCAATCTCTTCTCTCTTCTTCTTCTATCTTCTTAGCTTCCGAGATCTGACAACATCAAGCTAGCCTGAGCCACCCGGAGGGGTCCTGGTTAGTGCTTGGATGGGAGACCACCAAGGGAGTCTGGGGTTGCTACACAGAGACAGACAATGGCAAACCACCTCTGTTTGTCTCTTGCCTTCAGTTGTTCAGAGGGGTGGTTTCTATTGGGGGAATGCTATTGGAGGACGAAATGCCCCAATAGAAACTGGTTGATCAGAGCTGCTTTTGAGTGCTGAAAGGCTGGGAACCCCAGTGACAGACTTACCCCCATAAGGTGCAGCCTGATCCTCCGAGGCACGCTCGGCAGAAACAATGTGTGAGCATCTTGCAGACGTGGCCAACCCAGTTCTGGAGCAGGGGAAAAGTGACGCGTCCCTGAGCTTTGTTGGCGTGCCTTTTTCATCAGGACTTCCTAGTAAACCAAGATGTCCCCCCCCTTTCTCTTTTCGTCTAACAGGAAGAAGGCAAACAAATCCAGGCTTGGCAGAAATCGGGCTCTCAGGCAGACTCTCATGATGACGAGATTTCTCCTCCGCCTCCAAATCCCGTGGTCAAAGTCCGCCGCCGCCGGGGGGGAGTCAGTGCCGAGGTGTACACTGAAGAAGATGCCGTTTCGTACGTCAGAAAGGTAACAGTCTGCGGGGACCCTCAGATAAGAGTTATAATACAGTGTTCCCTCTAAGCCGAGTCAGTGTGGGCTAACTCACAGTTCTTTAGCCTCTGGCTCACACATTTTTGTCTTCGCTCGGGAAGGATGGCTCCGGAGCAAACTAATGGATGCAGCAGCCAAATCGCTCGCTCGCAGCTTTAATGCCAGTAGCTCAGAAAGTAGAATTTTTGCTCCCAAGACTCCACAGCTACCTCACAGGGTGTCTGTTGTAGGGAGGGGAAGGGAAAGGCGATTGTAAGCCGATCTGAGAGTCCGACTGAAGGGCAGGGTATGAATCCAATCTCTTCTTCCTTGAGCCATAAGTCAATTTCATGTCGCAACCCTAATAAAATATTGTTTTAGCAATTTAACCATAACAGCTGGAAGGACTGAAGAAATTCACTGGGGAACGAGACACTCTACCCTGTAGTCTCTGTGATCTGAGATGGCTAGCCTAGCGTATGTTGCTTGAGTGAGCCCATGCTGAGGCCTCCCATGAAGAAATCTGAAGGATCATTTCCCAGAAATATCAGCTTGTGTATTGAGGCTCCACCCACTCAGTTTCAGAGCTTGTGGGTGTGTACTTTGGACAGGGCCTTTTTGGTTGTGGTACCCTAATTGTAGAACTCCTTTTCCAAATACATCACTTGGCAAGCATTTGATTATCCTTAACTATTGCTAGCTTAGGGTTTTTTACTGATTTCATGATATGCAAGTTACATTTAAGTCTGTTTTAACTTTCATTCTCACATTACGTACTTTCATATGTAAACTGAAGGCCTGTGGGTGGAAAAGCAGAGTATAAGTTTAAAAAACGAACAGTATGATAACGTTGGCCTGTGTCAGGTGCGTGGGTTGATCCTGGCATGGCATTTATCAGTTTGCATTTCCATCCGGCTGCACCACGTGCAGGCTGTACCGTTCAAAGTGTTCCCACAACTCTACCTCTGTGAATTCTGAGGGTCAGTCATCTCATGGAGAAAGTGGTTTGATGAACAGGCCCTGAGCAATCCAAGCCTTATTTTGAAATGTGGAGTCAGATCCGTAGGGAGTCGCCTCGCTATCTGAACAAAAACGTTGCTGGCAACCTTTTCTCAAGTCAGCGGCCTAAAGGATTAATGCATCTTGCTGCGTAAGATACATTTGCAAAAAAATAAAACCCTATAAGGCCTTGCCAGCTACTTAATTATTTTCCATTCAGTTGTTCTTAATAGATGTTTTACTACCATTAGATGTTTTACTACCAGTCCAGATAGTTGTGTTTGTTTTTGTTTTAAATCTAGCTTAATCTGTTGTTTCCCAAATACATTATCTGTTTTATTTTTTTCTGGATTAAAAATTGGAGCCGCACTTCAGTCTACCTTCAGATTATCTAACCTGGCCGTCATTGCCCCCAACAATAATAAGCCCTCTCTTCCTTCCCACTTTCTCTCTCCCTCCCCTTCTCCAGGTGATACCAAAGGACTACAAGACCATGACTGCTCTGGCAAAGGCCATTTCCAAGAACGTTCTGTTTGCCCACCTTGATGATAACGAGAGAAGGTACGATACTCTTGGCTTGTCCTTTAGGACTTCTATGGCAGATTACTAGCAAAGAGTTCTCCCATTGTATAGATCTTGCTCACCAGTGGAAATGTACTCAATAACTACTCTGTGAGGCCTATGAGGAAAGGCTAAAGTGCTTGGGGCTCTTCAGCTTGGAGAAATGACGGCTGAGGGGTGACACGATCGAGGTTTATAGAGCAGGTGGAGAAAGAAGTCCTTTTCTCCATTTCTCACAATACAAGAACTCGTGGGTACTCCATGAAATTGCTGAGCAGTCAGGTTAGAACAGAGAAAAGGAAGTCCTTCACTCAAAGAGTGATTAACACATGGAATTCACTGCCACAGGAGGTGGTGGCGGCGGCGGCTACCAGCATGGACGGCTTCAAGAGGGAATTAGATAAGCATATGGAGCAGAGGTCCATCAGTGGCTCTTAGCCACAAGGTATAGATAGGAACTCTCAGGCTGGGGCAAGTGATGCTGCGTATTCTTGGTTCCGGGGGGGGGGGCAATGGTGGGAGGGCTTCTAGTGTCCCGGCCCCACTGCTGGACCCCCTGATGGCCCCTGGTATTTTTGGCCACTGTGTGACAGAGTGTTGGACTGGATGTGCCATTGGCCTCATCCAACATTGGCTTCTCTTATGTTCTTATGAGTATAAGTTTAAAAAATGACCAGCTGTTCTTAATATTCCCATTAGATGTTTTACTACCAGTCCAGATGGTTTGTTTTTGTTGTTGTTTTTTAAAAAACTATCTGCCTGTACGTCAAAAAGGTAATGGTCTGTGGGGACCCTCAGATAAGAATTCTAAATGGCTTGGTTCGGCAGTTGCAGGTTAGGTCAACAGTCTTCTTGGTGGCCGCTCCCCCTTTGGGAAATGGAATGGGAGGGGTGGGATTGGTCTACTGGAGGTTGGCATTGGGGAGGGCTTTCAGCCCTCTTTTCTCTCCCTGTCAAGCTCAAGAAAAGCCAGTTCTGCGAGTTGGTAGTGGAATCCAGTTGTGTATGGTCAGTGCTGACTGGCTAGCGCTCAGGTCACCAAGAACGTGCCTCCCTCTGTTCCTGACAACCCTTTTAAAAATTGTCTTTGGAAAAATAATAAAGGTGACCAAAAAAAGCATTTAAAATAATAAACGTATATGCGGCACTTTAAAAAAAAAAAAATCAAAATAAAACAGCAGCCATCTTCTCGGAGCGTGGAATGCTGATGGGCTGGATCCGCATTGAATGCATCTGTCTTTTAAACTGCGAAAAGAATAGGAAGCTGGTCTGAAGCTGGGGGTGGGGGGAAGGAAAACCTTGTGCGACTCCTTGTTTTAGCTTTACAAGTACCCAATTGTTAACTTCTCCGTTTATGCATCGGTCACGTCAGCCAGGGCCCACCAAGCTCAGCGCACCCCGTTGATTGTAACGGGATTCCTCCAGAGTCGTTAAACGACGGACGGCATAGCCCAGGGTCTTTGACTCAATCTGCATTGTGTCTTGTGAGGTGGGCAGCTGGCCCAATCCGTGTCCTTGTAAAAAGTAACAGTTTCTACGACTTCCCCGAAACAAAGGTGGTCTTTGAATGAACGTCAACAGCTGGAAGAGCCTGACACGCCACGTTTCGTCAGCTGCTGTGTGCAGATTTTCAGACTGGCTGTAATAGGACACTTCCAGCCTTTGGTAACTCCCGGCTATGCAGTCAGAATCTTTTTTTTTTTTTTTAAAGAAATTCCTTTTAAGAGGAAGGGGAAATGCTGCATTTGTGTGTGACCGGTGACAGGAGGGTTGCCAACATCTAGGTGGGGCAAACGTAGAAAAACACCGTGCTAGAACAAAGAACACAATACTGTTTATGCTACTATATCTTTAAATATTGATATAAATAATATACTCAAATACAATAGAGACCCTAGTGTATCTTCTTCATTCTACTACAAAACCTAAGGAACATTATATATCTACTAATAGAAAAGCCCACAGCTACAAAGACAGGTTCCAGTGCTGTAGACTATCTTGCTTCTGATGAGAGACTGATGAGAGAGGCAGCAGTCGTCAGTGATGACAGACGCAGCAGGGCTGTTATGCTTTCCAAAAAGGGATACAGCAAGCATCAAAGCGACACGCCTCCCAGGCAAAAATTGCGTGTTTCGAGAGAGTCCTCTTCAGGCAAACTCATTTTTCCTGGAACCAAAGCTCACAATGCTACAGTGCACAAGTCAGCAGCTCTACAGAGGGCTTCTCCGGTTCTCCATCAGAAGCAAGATAGTCTACAGCACTGGAACCTGTCTTTGTAGCTGTGGACTTTTCTATTAGTAGATATATAATGTTCCTTAGGTTTTGTAGTATAATGAATAAGATACTCTAGGGTCTCTATTGTATTCAAGTATATTATTTATATCAATATATGAAGATATATTAGCATAATTAGTATTGTGTTTTTTGTTCTAACACGGTGTTTTTCTACATTTGCTCGACCTTGCCGTGTTTCCCGTGTGTTTGTTGCCAACATCCAGGTGGGCCCTGGAGAACTCATGGAATTGTAGTCGATCTCCAGACGACAGAGGTGAATTCCCCTGGAGAAAATGGCTGCTTTAGAAGGTGGCCTCTACGGCAATATGCCTGGCTGAGGCCCCTCCTCGAACCCCACCTTCCCCAGGTTCCACCCCAGATCTCCAGGTATTTCCCAACCCAGGTCTGGCAGCCCTAGATGGCAACCATACTTGATAATGAGTCACAGTGCAGGTGCTTCCGGGAGAAGACTGCATCATGTCCATCCGTCCCAGTTGTCATGTCCGTCGCAGGAGTTGTACCTTCCCAAATTTTAGCACCTTTAGCACCTTTAGCACCAGTAGCACCTTAAAGACTAACAGGATCTGTGACAGGGGATGAGCTTTTGTGAGTCACTGCTCACTTCTTCAGAGAGCCAGTTTGGGGTAGTGGTTAGAACCGGGTTTCATTCCCCACTCCTCCAGTTGCACCTGCTGGATGACCTTGGGTCAGTCACAAGTTCTCTCAGAGCTGTTCTCTCAAGGGCAGTTCTGGAAAGAGCTCTCTCAGCCCCGCCTGCCTCCCAGGGTGTCTGTTGTGGGGAGGGGAAGAGAAAGGAGTTTGTAAGCCACTCTGAGACTCCGAGTGAAAGGTGGGGTATAAATATGACCTCTTCTTCTACTAGACTCTTGCTCTTCAGGCTAGTGGACTCTTGCTCTTCTCTGCTGCTACAGACAGACTAACATGGCTACCCATCTTGATCTGCCTCCCCCAATTTTCTGTGTTTATTTCATTTATGTTACTTTCTTACTGAGACTCAAGACAGGTTACGCAGTGTAAGTCAATACAATCGACTGGATGGGACATTGGAATGCATCGAATGCCTTTCATTGAGTGCAGAAGGGTTTGGGTGGCAGAAATCTGAAAAAGGAGTTCACAAAGTGCATAAGCATTTAAACGTGGTGCATTAGACAATGCAGAAATTACCCAGTAGAAGCATACTGACAGCAACAGACAGGACACACAATATAGTCTGTGTTCCCCATCAAAATATCTTTCCAAATGGTCTCCTGACAGTGCAGCCCCCTTATCTGTGTAAAAGGCTTGCCGTGGCATCTTTGCATGCCTTCCGACCCACCCACTTAAATTTTTGTCATCGACTCTGCCCACACGGTACCGTTCAGCAACATCCCGTCACAAGCATTTGCAGAGAGCAGGTGTGGCCCAGCAGCCGAGAGATTGACCTATGCATTGTGTAGTCCCTGGTTTGAATCTCGCCTCTGCTAGGAACTGCCCAGGTGGATTTAGGTGTGTCCTTTGGCCTCAGCTCCCCCGCCCTGCTGTCTGATTTATGGGGAAACTGCTACTAACCTTCCTTACACTCTCATTGCAATTGGAACAAGAGGGTGTCCTTAATTTTTTTTAAATTATTAAACAGTTAAGAATGCTATTACAAGAAGAACATAGGATAGATTGTATAAAAAACTTAACACAGAAAACAGTGCTAAAGTAAAGTAATATTGGCATCAACAAGTCTATATGTAGCTAATACTTTAAAGTGTGTGCAAGGGAGCTACGTCCGTAACTGAGGATTAAAAAGTGTTTTCAACAGTGGATATAATTTAACAGTTAAGAAGCCACAGAGAAGAACCAGCCACCTGAATTGAGTCCATCTATAGCAGAGGAACTACTAGAGAAGGTAGATAAGAGAAAGGTCAGTAGGCAAAAAATGGGTAATTACCAGAAACCAGGTTGCGACAAAAGAACAACAAGAAGAGAAGAGATTGGATTTATCCCCCGTCCTTCACTACCCAAGGGAGTCTCAGAACAGCTTACAAACTCCTTTCCCTTCCCCTCTCCACAACAGACACCCTGTGAGGTCGGTGGGGCTGAGAGAGCTCTGACAGAAACTGCTCTTTTTCAAGGACAGCTGTGCCAGAACTATGACTTGCCCAAGGTCATCCAGCAGGTGCAAGTGGAGGATTGGGGAATCGAACCCGGTTCTCCCAGATTAGAGTCCGCGCACTCCCAGTTCTCCCAGATTAGCGTCCCAGTGGGGAATCAAACCCGGTTTCCCCAGATTAGAGTCCACACACTTAACCACTACACCCGCCCCCCCCCCCCCAAAAAAAAGATGGTGTACTTCATGGGAATGCTCAGCCAGCATGGAGGGGTGATGTGAATGTCAGACTGGGATCTGGGAAACGTGGGTTCTAATCACTGTTCTGCCGTGGAAGGTGGCTGGGTGACCTTGACTCTCTCAGCCTCACCTACCTCACAGGGTTGTCGTCGTCTGGATAAAGCGGAGGAGAATAACGCTGTAAGCTGCTTTGGGTCCCCACTGGGGAGAAAAACAGGGAATAAATCAAGGAATGAAGACCTTCATGACACTTTCTTATGAGTACATTTCTCAGCAAATATTAAATTACGCCCTCTGCAGCTGTGAAAATCTGGATAAAGCGGAGGAGAATAACGCTGTAAGCTGCTTTGGGTCCCCACTGGGGAGAAAAACAGGGAATAAATCAAGT